TATAAAATTAGATGAACTGTGTTTCTTACTTTGTAAACTCATTGAATACCTAATACTGAATATTATGTAAAAAATACATAATATTTACTTAGATAAACTATAATTTAATTACTTATTTCTGCATTACTGGACATTTAAGCTTTATCCAAATTTTTGCTTTTATAAGTGAGACAGTGATGAACATCTTTGAGCATCAATCATTTGCCACATTCCAGATTATTAGAAACTAGCTTCCTAAGTGGAGTTTAAATGCTTCTTTGTCTTGATTTTGAAACCCATTTCACGTTTTGTCAACAGTGTCATCGCCAGTAGCCTTGGCATTGTTAGTCATTTATTAAATGCCTATAGCATACCTTGTATTTAGAGTTTGAATCCAAAAGAGTATCTACCTTCTAGTTTGGTTTTCAAACCTTATATTCTAGAATGGAGGAGAATGGCAGATTAAAGAAATAGCAGGATAGAGAAGGACCAATGAAATAGTACAGGATTCAATTTAATCTACCATGGCTGAAAGTAGAGCCAACAATATTTTGAAGTAGTTTTAAACATAGGCAGGATAATAATACATGTAAATAGATATACTTTTCCATATATATCTTGTAAGATGTTGTGTGTCAAAGGTTAGCAAAATCCTTTCCCCATCTGCATGAGAATCTGACCTTCAGTTAACTTTCTAGCTCTATGTCCCTGGAAACCTGATAAGGTAGTTTCTTAAGTTGGGTTTCCCAGGTAACAGATTTTAAAAGATGCATGCAGGAAGTTTGTTGGGGAGTTTTCTTGAGATCCACACCTGTAAGAGAGTGGGGGGAAAAAAGAAATTTGAAAGGAGGATCTGAACTGCCCTGCCATACAGTCACAACAAAGGCCTCATCTAAATCTATGGTGATCTTTGCATCTAAGATGTCTCTTCAGAGATGTCCTGCCTTGATGCAAGAGACAGGGCCCTTATAGATCCACATCATCTTAGTCATTGGATATAAGTTGCCTCAGAAGTGGGATTGTTAATTTAGGAAAGACAGCTTTCTTTGGGTCAGGACAGTTCCTAGACAGCGCCTCAGTTAAAGCTCTTAGGGCCAATACTCACACAGCTCAGGAAATGAGTGCCATATAACTAAAAGGGGTTCTGGGAAGCATACCATAGCATCCACTCTAATTGGGTGGTTGCTAGGCAACATTGCCTTTGGTAGAAAATTACTTCTGATTGGTAAACTGGATTAGAAGGAGATAATAGACTATAAATGCCATAGCTTTGATCTTCCCTGAGGGTAGTAACTCTTGTAATTGGGCTTGTCATTTACAGACAGGAACCCTGGAAGCCATGCCTATGGAGTTGTTGCAAGAGGTATTGGCTTCTGGTGGGGTATGAAACTTTTAAGTCACGATCACTCATGCATCCGCCCAAAGTGAGCCTGATTCCCTCATTCCTGAGCTAGCACCCCATGGCCAAAGAAAATAACTCCAGAAGTCATGTGAGCTGCTACAGGAACCTCTGTGAGGCTCCCACCTAAAAGGAATGCTTGGTGCTGCCTTGATGGCAGACTGTCATTTCTGCCTGTATTTTATAGGTTCAATGGATGTCAAGTGTTACCCAAATAGTCTTGTGTAATTGCTTAGTTGTGCTTATAGATGACCCCCTAAGTGAATATTGTAGAAATTTTTTCAATTGGGTCTCACTTTTTAGAATGTGAAACTACAGAATGATTTAAGATCTTAGAGTCAGACTGAAAATATTTAAGTACTTGTGGCACATGAATACTTGAGGTTTCTTTTTCCTACAGCTGACAGGCCACTATTAAACAGATATTGTCTCCCTAGAGTATGGAGGAAAAGACTCAGCTATGATACTAATCTCTGAAAACAGTAGTCTTTATATGTGAACAGTGGAAAGAACTGTTGGTTCTTTGCTCTGCTTTAGTCATAGATGGGTCATTTGGGCCTGGTTGGCAGTTTCCCTCATGTCCTGTGAGTCACCAAGTTTTGCTAATTCTTCCTTTGTCATGACTCATTCCATCCCTTCCATTCGCTCTGCTGCCACCCTGCGTAGTATTCATAGTCCTTGTCACTCTATATATGCGAATCACTGGAAATGCTACCTTGGAAGTGCTCTCTGCCTTAAGGTTTTGTCTTATCTGAGCTGCACTACCTCTGAGATCCCAGACTGAATTCCATAATAGAGTTTTGTCTAGGGGTTGCAAACTGTTAATGCGTAAACCAGATTGTCATGGAGCTGAGGTCCTAGGAAATAGCGAGAAGAAAGGCTGGAAAGATAGGCTTAAATGGAAAGACTAGAAGAAATGAGACTTGTTAGGAATCTATTGTAAGAAAGTCCAAAATGAGGTAGGAATGGAAAGGATGGGACAGGTAGGCTCTCAAGGAAGAGTTGGTGAGTGTGAGAAGAAAGCAGGGAAAACCTCACTGAGGTCAGATCATATGGATTTATACCGGGCCCATTGGACTTGGTGTTAAGACAGACAGTCTGTCAGGAGTAGAGAAAGTAACACTTCTCACATACTACACCCCGTATATCTTTATGTAACACCCTTATGGAATTGCAAGCACATTAGAGACCAGGATCATAGCTTACTCCTTACTCTCCCACTTCCAGCACAGAGCCTTGTGGGGACAGTGTAATCTAATCTCCTATATGTCTATATTCTGTCCATACATAGAAGAACATTTAGGATCATCACAGGTATTTAAGATTGCTAATTATGCCAACCACCAGCATGTAGAAACTTTGTTATCTGTCTCCCTGTTTTGTTTTTACATTTCTTTGCTTTTTTGGAGAGGGTATTGGAAATGGGGCTTTTACTTTTTTTTTTTTTTTCTCCCAATTACAGTTTACTTTCAGTATTATTTTGTATTGGTTTCAGGTATACAACATATAGTTTACAAACTGTTCCCTCCCAATATTTCCAGTACCCACTTGGCACCACAGATAGTTATCACATTATTATTTACTATATTCCCTATACATTTCTTTCTTTGTGAGATAAAACTAGGGAGACCAGATGTCTGGCTTTTGTCTGGATTGTTCCAATTTACACCCGTTCTCCCAGTATAATTTGTATATCAGTATATGACTATAAGGTTGTAACTAATCATCCTGAAGATAATTATTTTTTCATTATTTATTACCCTAAGATTTTATGAACAAGACCACAGCCCTTGGTGTCAAGAATTTGATAACCTAGCAAAAATTACAACAGAAATCATTCAATGCAATAGTAGGAACACGCACAAGATTTTGTTATAGGACATTACCTATCCTTGGAGATAATTGGGAAGACTTTTGATAGAAGGTGATGTCTCATTTGATTTTGGAAGACAAGTAGGAATTATGTAGGTCAAGGTGGTGAGTGAAGTGAGGGCACAGCACAGGAGTCACTTTGAAACCAAAGAAAGTAGCCCGGAGACAAAAGTATGGCACAGTTAGGTTACTGCAAGTTGTTCCTGCAGTTGGGACACAGAGAGTGTTCTCTGTTGTCTCTCATGGTGGGAAAAGGGTGTCTTATGAATCATAGTGTTTTTCAGGGCAATGGTGAGAGATATAGTTCAAGGCAGAACCAGATCATGAAAGGCCTCGATATCATACATACTGAGTTCAAACTTGATTCTGAGGACAGTGAAGAAACTTTGAAGGACTCTAAGCAGGAAGTGAGTAATGTGGGAACATGATCATATTTGCATTTTTGAAAAGTTTTCCTCACTACAGAATTAGACCCAGAGAGAGAACATTTAAATAGGCAGCTCTAGAAGCAGGGAAAGTGGGCTGGAGACCTTTGCCATCAACAAGTGAAATGATGGTGGCTTGAGCTAAGCCAGAGGAAATGAGAATGACAGGAAATAAATGCACTTAAGAGACAGTTGGGAACAGAATCGACAGCATTTTAATGTTTGATTATATGTGGAGTTTGAGGGAGGGAAAAATAAAATATGATGCTCAGAATTTAGCTGGAGGCAGGGAGCAAAAGCAATGACATAGGTTCATAGAGGAAGTTTTTAGCACAGGGTTGAATTGGTTGAGTTTGAAGTATCTGTGGGACATCCAAAAAGAAATGAGTTGGGTCTGGAGCTCTGGAGAGAAATTTAAGGCAGAGATTGACATTAGGGAACAACAGCTTTTAGGTGGCAAGTGAAACCATTCACATAAACCTTCTTAGGCAATTAATCTTTTGGTGTTAAAGCTTCCAGAAAATATTTGTACAAAATATTTTCATGATCTGTTTTAGTTTTAGCAGTTTGTTTTCTGATCAGTATTATTTAGCTCTTTGGTTTGTTTGTTTTTCTTTTTCACATTATTCAGGTTTTACCACAATATGTGTCAGCTATAGAAATAAACACAAGAAAATGAAGTTATAGAACTTTTGGAATTAAAGCAACATGCATACATTTATTAAGGTTTAGTAATTTAGGAGAAATGTGAAAGGCTTTGGGTTTATATGCTCAGATTTCTCCCAGTTCTACAAAAAAAATTTGTTTGGAAAATCATTTTTTTAAGTATATTTTTAAATAATGTGAATAGAAAATATTTGTTGCTAATTTCTGCTTATTTTCAGCTTACAGAGATACTTAAAATTTCATAGTTCAAGATGTACATATAATATAAATATTTTCAGATATACATATAGAATTGTACCTGAATTTTTTTAGTGTTACAGTTTTATCAATAATTTTCTGCTATGTAACTGATTTCCTTAGATATATTTTAATATCTCAGATATACGCACAATGCAATTTCCCCTCAAAGATGTGCTCATTTTAAATATTTTGTTTCAAAAGATTATAGTAACAGTTAAGTTTAGCAATATTTTAATAATAGTAAAATAATAATTCTCTATTTTGAATTTTCGAAGTAGTCCTTTTGTATTATTATTTTGAATAAGCCATAACCTTATCTTATTTCTTATGCTACATAAACAAGCACATGATTTAATTTGTGATTACTATGATAGTAATTAGATACAGTATGTAATATATAATATTTGTTTTTATTATAGGAAAATGGTTCTCCTGAAGAACATGCAGTCTACGTGTGGGACCATTTCATAGCTCAGTCTGCAGCTGAGAATGTATTTTTTGTTGCTCACAGCTATGGAGGACTTGCGTTTGTTGAACTGGTAAGTGCACGTTTAACTGTATTTTTAATCCCCAAACTCCTTATAGGTTTACCACTTCTACTCCCTATTTGCTGGCATCATTACTTTAAATCATTTTATAATGGATGAAAATAATGTCTTTTGAGTAAGTAGTTTTACAACATTTAAAAATAATATAATTCTTTATTTATTTATTAATATATTTTTATTGATTTCAGAGAGAGGGAGAGAGAGATAAAAACATCAATGATGACAGAGAATCATTGATCTTCTGCCTCCTGCACACCCCCGCTGGGCCTTGCTGAGGATCGAGCCTGCAACCCAGGCATATGCCCGGACCAGGAATCAAACAGTGATCTCCTGGATCATAAGTCGATGCTCACCTGCTGAGCCACGCCAGCCAGGCTAATTATTACTTTTTAATTTCTACATTATAACCCAAGTTTCTATATATTTTATGATATTATGTTTCCTGTTTTATGTGTATACCATTGAAGCATATATTGCCTGTAAAGTGTTAAAACTTTCAAGAGACCCTTTGAGTATTTGGGAATATTTTGATAATCTTTACCTGACTTATCTCTACAAATTAGCACTTGGTCAGAATCTACATGATTATAACTATCAGAAAGCTTCCATTCATCTGCTTCTAAGTGGCACTCATTGCTTGGCAATAAAAATCTTTATATTTCAAAATAATCTAATTCTTGGAGTTAAGATTATATGTACATGATAGAAAAAATTATCAAGATTTCTGAATTTTGTCTATATTATCTGCAGCATTACAAGTACCAGTGTGAATAATTGAGATATAATCAGTACTAAAAATGCACTGATGAAGAATTTTTGCCTTCATGCCCATAACCCCTTACATCAGAGGAAGGTACCAGTGCTACAGTAAAGTGGTTAATATGATACAAGTCCATTTTATCATTTTAAATCCAGTAGCCTCAAGTGGACATTAAACGTAGACACGGCATTGGTTGTCTTAATTTTTATGTTTCTAAATTTTGCTATTTATTTCTCTTTTTATGGAAATTCAGTATATTTCCATGGCGTTTTCAACTTCCCCACACCTTATTGTTTACCCACATAATTTAGATATTAACCTGGTGGTGACACCTGAGAATAATTTTGCTTACCTAAATTTATAAATGCTTATGTTCTCTTAAGATCAAGAAATAAATTAAATCATTTATTTCTTAAATGAATTCTACTTTTTCTAAATGATTTCAAGTACTTTTATCTCTGTTGAATTTAATATATAATGGCTATATTTAAATAGCTAACCAACTGTTATGATGTACTTTTTAAAATGTGAATGTTTTAAATAGTTCTTTTAACCCTACAGCTACACACACACCATACACACACACATAGTTTTCGTATATGTAGCTTGTATTTTCTTTGCACACCATTGAATTACCTAGAACATGAAATTTCATTGACACTCAGAGTAATAACTTAAAATATGTCAGAAAGCCTGCAAGACTAATAAATTTTAAGATTTCTGTAAAACATAAATTCTTTTTTTTAAGACAGTTTATAAAAATCTTATGTTTATCAAATTTGGAATTTAAGTGAATTTTGGACAGTTTTTAAAATGAACTTAAGATGCCAGAGTAACAGATGACCAGTGTGTCAGTTGTGTTTGGCCTGTCCTTCTTGTCACACACTGGTGGATATTTCTCCACTTTTGTTCCACTTTAATATAAAGCACACAGATGTTTCAGAACAAGACTTGACTTCTGACCTTGAGGCTACTAGGGTCAGGGTCCTCAGGGCCTGTGAAATTATCACAAGCTGAGCTAAAGTTTTTTTCCATCACAGGAAGTAACCAGTAAGTAAGAAGTTAAAAAGGAGCTTTGTCAGCGAGACAAGATGGTCTCAGTCGGGTCAGCTTCTGTAGCCTGCTGTCTCTGCAGGAGGCGCATGCATGGGAGGAGGAATATAATATGACCACTGGCACAGCACATATTTGTCAGGCAGCACCAGGCCTGAGAAGTCTATTTCATGTAATGTACCTTGTTTAGGTTTTAAAATATTAATGGGGATTATCTCAACTTCATGTATTTGCTACTTTTTGTGAAGTAACTTAGATGGGGGTATGTAATAGATTTAGATTGTGACAACTGAAGAAAAGGTTGTTCCTGACATTGTACACTGATGAGTTTGACATCAATTTTGACAAAGCTTGATTAATATATATATAAGGCCATTATGTTGCTACTTAATTTCAAAAGGATTTTTTAAAGATTGCATTGATAAAGAAACAACAAAAAGACACTGAAATATTTTTAAATCCTTTGCTTTTGCCTAAAGCTGAGTAATATTCTTACCTCTTCTCCCCAATATTCTTAGGGGAAAAGTCATGATGTTTACAATATTGACAAATATTTATTCCAGGATTTTTCAACATAAGTGTAATATATGAAGTTGTTTTACATGGATTTAAAATTTTAATATTAACTTTATAAGAAAGTAAATTATTAACATCTTAAATTATAGTTTCAGTTTTTTGTCTCAATAATACATTATATACATCAGATATTAAGTTCTTTGGATTTCAGTAAAGCTAAACTTTTTTAAAAGTGTCATAAAGTTGTGCTCTAGTTAGAAAAACTCTACACACGCGCGCGCGCGCGCACACACACACACACACACACACAAAACACACACACCCCTCCCTACCTTATGAATAGTCTTGAGTTGTAGCATCATGTTTGAATGTATGGAGATAGTTTTTCTGCCATTCTCATACAAGTTTATTTTTAGGTCATGAATTTTAAGAAAATTTATTTTGAATATAAACTGTGTAGATAAGTACAGCTTCAATAATATATGCAATTACTTATATTGCTTATGGTTTGAAAAACAGGTACCAGTGAGGACTTATTCTTAAATGTATCCTGCCATCTACTAAATTTAAATTGTTTATAATTATAGTTGAAAATTAAATGTACTGCTAATAGATATCTGAAAATAAGTTACTTCTAAATTTAGAGCACAAAATAGTTGCAGAGCTTTTATATTTTGCTTATTGTTGTTTTTGAAAACTGAGATCATAATTTATGATTTTATTCTACCTTAAAGTATTGAATTTCTCCTGAAGAATGCATTATAGTTAAGAGATTTATTTTCAAAACCAATGTCCATTTTATGGTAGTAAATCTTGGAATGTGATCAGATCTAACCTCATACAGTGTACAGTTTACTATAATAATGAGAAAAGTGATACTAAAAATATGCATTTCACAGCTTTTATTCTTATTGTAAGGTAACAGTTCAAGTTTCCAATTCTCTAAACTTTCTGTGCTCCTAGTGAAAATAAATGTTGATAAGATAGCTCTGGTAGCAATTCCAGCATTCAGTCATTAGAGGCAAAAGGGAAGAACTACTTATATTACACATTGATACCCAATTTTTAAAAGTAACATACCTGCCCTATGTTACCTTTTCTGTGTATTTAAAATAATACCAATATAAAAAAATAATGCCAATATATAGTTACTCTTATTAAACCATCATTTACGAAGCCTTACATTTCTGTGTTAGAAATTGTTTTCTACAATGATAGAATTAGTAGTCATAATCAGAATGCATTTACCAAATTCATTCAGAAAGACATCTACAAATAATGCAGCTTACTTTTGCCTATATTCATTGTTAAAGTGTGATCTTATTTGTTGGAAATTAACTGTCATGAAAAAACAGTGCAGTTTTAAGCTTTTATATCATCTCTTTCACCAGTCACTTAAGTGATTCCATTGCTTCCATTGTTGGTCATAGCAGAGTGCTTTGCTCTTGTCTTCCTAGGTGATAGTTTGACAAAATCAAGCAGCCTTAAATTTTTCTTTTAATTGGAAATGATTAGCTTTCCTAGTTAATGACCACTTTCTAATTTCAGCTCACCTTCCCTTCCCTGTTTGCAGTGCTCAATAGATCAATTTGCATTCACATCTTTCCTTAGTCAGAGTGCTGATATTTTTTATAAAACACATTAAACAATTGTAGTAAATATATTTTATTAGTTTATTGAATCATTTCAGCTGTTATACAATTAGTATTTTTATAATTACTTTCATTTCCTTTTCTATGTTATTAGTGGTATGTACATAACCACCATTAAAAACATCACTTAGAAATGTGTGAAAACTGTTCCTTTTGAATGTGCATCTCTACCCACTTTTGATTTTGGTTTCTCCATGCTTGTCAGCACTTGATTGGCACCTCACTTGCATGTGAATTAAGGACTGAAGGGAACTCTGTTTCCCTGCCATTGTTCCATGCTGGGCTCCCTAGCCTTCAGGCTGCCTAAGCTGACCTTCAGCAGCTGATAGAGGACTAATTTTTGGACATAGCTCTGTGAGGACACTCAACCTCAGTCTTCTCTGAGTTGATCTTCTAAAGTTGCCTAGAGTAAGATTTGGATTTACACTGAAGAGAAAATGGAATGGGACTAAAAGAATTAGTTTTTACCTTTGGTGACATCAGCTAACTATGACCTTAAAGAGTCATTATTTACATTTTGCCTACAAAGAACAAAGTAAATTGGATATTCGTAGGATATCTGCTTAATGTGATCAATGGGAATAGCTAAAAGTTGGGCTGCTGGGAATCAACAATTGAGGAGAGGGGGGATAAACCAAAGAAAAATTGAGCCATAATTAAAGTAATTCAGGCCAAAATGCTTCTTATAAACCTACTGTAAATGTAGGTAATTCACTAAAAATAAGTTGCCATTTGTAATATAAGTTGAATTTCTGAGTTGGCTGCCTATGTGATATGAATAGCATGTTAATGTATGGGATGATTACAACTTGTATGGCATGCTATCTTAATTCTCTAGTTTTATATGTAAACAATTTAGTTTCTCTAACTATTCTGTATGGTCCTTAAAGAGAAGAACCAGAGGTTATATTATTTTTGCCTCCTCTATTCAGTTGTATCCCTGACTTGCATATAGTGTAGATAAATCTTTTGATTGATTGTTGGTAACACTAATTTTAGGAGTTAGTTGC